AAAAAAAAAAAAAAAAAAAAAAGAAAAAAACAATATGGAAATTTAAAAGTGATAACATAAAGAACTTAATCAGGAAATACACATACTCATGAAAAACTGATCTTGCACACGCTTTATTGCCTTCAAAGCAATCACTGCCCCTAGTTAGATGTTTCAAAGGCAGCTATCCTTTTGTATTAGAGAAGGTAGGCCCTTTCTCTAATCTCAAAGGGATGAATCATAACCATTCTAAATAAGTCACTGCAATCCCATGCCCCTTTGCTAAAGTTAGGGTATAACCCCATTCTAACCTCTGGTAAATACAGGGAAATTTTACTGTTTCCCTGTAAAATTTTCTAAAGTTAGACAGACCCTACCTAACAAGGACAAAACATTATTACTACCTTCCTTTCCTCAAAAAACAAAACAGAACAAAACCAAACAAACAAAACCCCACACAGCTGAATAATAAAATCCCTTTACTGGTTTCAACATATTATAATCAGGAAGGTGAAACCAAGAGTATACCAAAGGCACCATGGACCTAAGATTGCTATACCAACCCTGGAATTGCCCATCTGCAGGCTTTTTATATGAAATAATTAAAACCTATTTGCAGGGGCACAGGTAGGTTTTACCATATTGGTGATGTTTTATTACCTATATTAGATGGTGAATTCCGGGTTTAGTGTTCCTGCTATGCTTTAAAATATGTATGAATTAAGAATTTTTTATTAGGAAATTATACTTGATTAAAAAATACTCAGCTAAAATTGAACACTATTTCCAGGGGAAAATACATTCTGATTTTCAAACAATATAAGTACATGAAAAGGTGCTCAACATCACTAGTCACTAGGGAAATAGATATAAAAATAATGAGATACTTTAGGCCTACTAGGATGGCTATAAAAAAACACAAAACAAAAAGTAACAAGTCTTGATGAGGACGTCAAGAAATTGCAACTCATAGTGAGAATATAAGGTGCAGGCACCACGGAAAATAGTTTAGTGGTTCCTCAAAAAGCTAACACAGAATTACCATATGACCCAACAATTCCACCTTTACATATATATTCTAAGTAACTGAAAGCAGTGATTTCAATAGATACTTGCATGTCAGTATTTGTTACAGCATTATTCACAATAACCAAAAGGTGAAAATAACTCAAGGGCTCATCATTAGATGAACAAACAAAATGTGGCATATACGTGTAATGGAACAGTATTGTCATAAAAAGGAATGAAATTCTGATACGTGCTAACTAATGTATCCTGAAAATATTACTTTAAGTGAAATAGGGCAGTCACAAAATGATAAATATTATATGGTTCCACTTATATAAACTATCTAGAATAGGCAAATTCATAAAGACAGAAAGTGATTAAAGATTACCAGGGGCTGGGAAGATAGCAGAAGGGAGAATTACTGCTTAATGGTCACAGAGTTTGTCTTAAGTAATAAAAACGTTTTGCAAATAGTGATGGATGCACAAAACTGTGAATCCAATTAACAATATTGAATTGTATACACTTAAAAATAGTTAAAATGCCAAATTTTATGTTACATATATTTCACTACAATTTTTAAAAACTGAAGTAATATACCACAAATTGAATTGTTTATGCTTTTTTTTTTTTTCTTTTGAGACTGAGTTTCGCTCGTCACCCAGGCTGGAGTTCGATGGTACGATCTAGGCTCACTGCCACCTCCATCTCCCAGGTTCAAGCGATTCTCCTGCCTCAGCCTCCTGAGTAGCTGGGATTACAGGCATGCGCCACTATGCCCAGCTAATTTTATATTTTTAGTAGAGACGGGGTTTCTCCATGTTGATCAGGCTGATCTCGAACTCCTGACCTCAGGTGATCTGCCTGCCTAGGCCTCCCTAGGTGCTGGGAGTGATCCACTGTGCCCAGCCCTGAACTGTGTATTTTATACAGGTGAAATTTTTGGCATGTGATTCATATCTCAATAAATCTATTAATAATAAACCTTAGAACCAAAGTGTAGGTATGTTGTGATTTTTTTCACTTTTTTGATATTGGTAATTTCTGAAAGACTGCTTACGGTTGGCCAGGCACAGTGGCTCACGCCTGTAATCCCAGCACTTTGGGAGGCCGAGGCGGGCGGATCACGAGGTCAAGAGATCGAGACCATCCTTGCCAACATGGTGAAATCTCGTTTCTACTAAAACATAAAAAAATTAGCTAGATGTGGTGGTGTGTGTCTGTAGTCCCAGCTACTAGGGAGGCTGATGCAGGAGAATTGCTTGAACCCGGGAAGTGGAGGTTACAGTGAGCCGAGATTGCGCTACTGCACTCCTGCCTGGCGCCTGGCAACAGAGCAAGACTCTGTCTCAAAAAAAAAAAAAGAAAAAAAAAAAGACTGCTTACAGTCAAATTGTGAAGAACTTCTCATGTCTGGGCAAAGATTTTGTACTTCATTATCACAAAGTACTGTGATTATCAAAAGGGAGTGGTAAAATATATACCATTTTAAGAAGACATATCCAGTAATGAACCACCTGAGTTTCACAGAATAGTACGAAAACATGTAGTCCTGTTATACAGTAATACATCAAAGTCCAATATAATATTCTAGACAAGAGACTCAACTGAAGAAGTACGAGGAACAGCAATCAAGGTACAAATATAACTTATCTTTTAGTTTGCAAAAGTATACAAAGAGACTAAAGACTAGATAAGCCATTCGGTATTATAGTTTCCCTCTTGACTGCCTTAAATAGGCACTATTAGAAAGTAACAAAAATAAACGGCCATGAAAGATCACTCCAGAAGGACTGCCTGAAGACTAGCAGCTTTGGATATTCCTATCACAAACAAATAAGAACACTATTCTTTCTGCTAATTTTCATCCCAAACACAATTACTGACAACCTATTAAGTTTCCAACATTGCTAATTTCTGCTAATTTTCATCCCAAACACAATTACTGACAACCTATTAAGTTTCCAACATTGCTAATTCTTTATAAAAAAAAAGAGACAAACACTTATATCTGTCCTTAAGATCACTGCCTAGAATCAGAAGTCTGATAAGTAAAAAATAATAATGCTAATAATGTAATCAATAAACACAAAAACACATATTACTTGGCACACATTTTAATGTTAAATCTACAATATACGTGTACAAATTATAAAGCAAACTGTACAGTGTCTTTTTACTACATTGAACAATGTGAAAAAGATCTACAATGTCTCTTCACCAATTTTTTTTCTACCTCACTGGAATTCTTTGGGACTAAAAAGACAGTTAATCTACACATTTCAGTGCAGTTAGTAATTTTAGATGAAAGTAAATTTTGTGTGTCAGAATATCAAGAATATATAACAAACAAACAAACAAACCCACCAGTAGCCCGGTACAGGGGCTCATGACTGTAATTTTAGTACTTAGGCAGATATAGGAGATAGCTTGAGTCTAGGAGTTCGAGGCTGCAGTGACTTATGATCACACCACTGCACTTCAGCCTGGGCAAGAGTAAGACCCTGCTGCTAAAACCAAACCCAACCCAACCCACCATTTGTTGAATTCTGAACACAAACTAAATAACTGCCATATTTTTATGGTATATATAAGGAATATATAAAATGTTAGTTTAAATGTGCATGAGAATTTTCTTAACTTAGTTTTACTAAGCTAATTCCTAAGGACAATTTACCAAGCCTTAAAGAAAAGCAATATTAATGTTTAAAAAAGAGCAGTAATTTATTTGTAAAAATAAAACATTTGTATATTTCAGGATCTTCAATGAATCCTCCAAAGGGAAAAATAAAGCTTTAAGCTCATTAACTGTCAATAAAATTTTTTAGTCCTAAAAATTGTGGCTATGTTACATGGCTCATTAAAATTCAATTTAATAACTGATTTTATGCAAGAAGAATGAATGTTAAATTCCTTACCTTGTAATCTCATCATCTCCAAGCACTGCTTTAGAAACTGGTGAGTATCTGGCTGGTGATGCTGGTGTCTGGCACAAGAAGGAAGATGGGCTAACATGGTTATCAACAGGCTGAGAAGAAGCTTCAAAACAAAGAAAAGTGAAAAATTACTTTAAAAACGAAACATGCCCATCAGTATTCCATTTATGAGTGATTAATGCGTAATTTATATTCACTCCTTTGTATATCAGAATTTGGTAGAGAAGATTTAATCATCAGCTAAAAACTGGATGTTATGTTTCCCAGGTTAGTCTCAAACTCCTGTCCTAAAGTAATCCTCCCACCTCAGTCTCCCAAAGTGCTAGGATTACAGGCATAAGCCACCACATGCAAATGAATTACTATTTTAAAGAATTACCTAAAGTCTAAATGTGATGTGAATAATAAAAACCAGAGGCTTTCCAATAAGTGCGAAAAGACTACGTTCTTGTATTAGCTCAAATCTGTCAACCTAATTTATATCAATTCCTTTAAATTCACCCATGAAAGAATAAAAACCTGGTAAAAAGCAAAAATGAAAAATAAGCAAAAACCATCCAGGTGTAGTGGCTCATGCCTGTAATCCTAGCACTTTCGGAGGCTGAGGCAGGTGGATCACCCGAGGTCAGGAGTTCCAAGACCAGCCTGGCCAACATAGTGAAATCCTGTCTCCACCAAACAAACAAACAAACAAACAAACAAACAAACAAACAACAAAAATTAGCCAGGTGTGGTGGCGCAGCCTGTAGTCACAGTTGTGTAGGAGGCTGACGTGGGAGAGTTGCTTGAACCTGGGAGGTGGAGGCTGCAGTGAGCCAAGATTGCACCACTGCACTCCAGCTTAGGTGACAGAGTGAGACTCCATCTCAAAAAAAAAAAAAAAGGCAAAAATCATCCATTGGTTCATTACAATAGTAATAAATACTACATATAGATTTTCATTATAGCAAAAGCTAAGAACAGAAAATTATGAAGTAATTTCTGACCATGCTTTCCAAAGACCCAGATAGCTAACAAATGGCAGCAGTAGCTTACAAAGGCACAAGACACTTGAATTACTCCAATCATTACCAAAACACACAGGAAGCAATATTTAACTTTCTTGAGGCTCTATGATAAAGTTACAAAGCACTTCAAAAGTATCTATACTATTTAATTATCAAACATCAATCTCTTTTTCATTAAATTAGAGAGTATCTTCTATGGAGAGAAGCACTATATTACAGACTGGAGTACAAAAAAGCAGTGCACATTAGTTGAAATTACTATAGTGGCCAGATAGGTAACATAAAGAAATAAAGTGATCTGAATGAAAGACAATAGGAAAAGACTGAAACTACGGTATTTTAGAGATGTAGTGTATCTATTGATACCACAGGTTTGCAGTACTCAAAAGCAACTGTTTCCTATCCAGTTCATATATAAGATGCTCTTCTGTATTTGAGCCAAAGGACTTTCTACCAATAACTTTTAGTTTTGAAAGTCCAATGTCTTTACTGGGTGCTAAGAATATGCGATTTTTAAGTGAACTGGTATGTGGCCCTCAATCAAGAGATACCAACGTGAACCTCTACAATTACTAGCCTTTTAAAAAATCCAGTTTACTGATTTTTGACATTTTTTTTTTTGTACTTTAGATTCTGAGGTACATGTGCAGACCATGCAAGATTGTTGCATAGGTAGATTCATGGCAAGGCGTTTGCTGCCACCACCCCCTGATCACCTATACTTAACATTTCTCCCCACGTTATCCCTTCCCTGCTCCCTCCCTCTACCCCTCAGATAGCCCTCCCCAACAGACCCCAGTGTGTGATGCTCCCCTCTTTGTGTCCAAGCGTTCTCATTGTTCAACACCCGCCTATGAATGAGAACATGCAGTGTTTCATTTTCTGTTCTTCTGTCAGTTTGCTGAGAATGATGGTTTCCAGGTTCATCCATGTTCCTACAAAGGACACAAACTCATTTTTTATGGCTGCATAGTATTCCATGGTGTATATGTGCCACATTTTCTTTGTCCAGTCTAACACACTGATGGGTATTTGGGTTGGTTCCAGGTCTTGGCTATTGTAAACAGTGCTGTGATGAACATGCATGTGCATGTGTCTTTATAATAGAACAATTTATAGTCCTTTGGGTATATACCCAGTAATTGGATTGATGGGTCAAATGGAATTTCTATTTCTAGATCCTTGAGGAATTGCCACACTGTCTTCCACAATGGTTGAACTAATTTACACTCCCACCAACAGTGTAAAAGTGATCCTATTTCTCCACATCTTCTCCAGCATCTGTTGTCTCCAGAGTTTTTAATGATCGCCATTCTAACTGGCATGAGACGGTATCTCAATGTGGTTCTGATTTGCATTTCTCTAATGACCAGTGACGATGAGCATTTTTTCAAATGTTTGTTGGCTTCATGTATGACTTCTTTTGAAAAGTGTCTGTTCATATCCTTCATCCACTTTTGGACGGGTTTTTTTTAATTGTAAATCTGTTTCAGTTCTTTGTAGATTCTGGATATTAGCCGTTTGTCAGATGGGTAGATTGCAAAAATTTTTTCCCATTCTGCTGGTTTGCTCTAATGATTGTTTCTTTTGTTGTACAGAAGCTCTGAAGTTTAATTAGATCCCATTTGTCTGTTTTGGCTTTTGTTGCTGTTGCTTTTAGTGTTGTAGTCACGAAGTCCTTGCCTATGCCTATGTACTAAATGGCTTTGCCTAGATTTTCTTCTAGGGTTTTTATGGTATTAGGTCTTATGTTTAAATCTTTAATCCATTTGGAGTTAATTTTTGTATAAGGTGTAAGGAAGGGGTCCAGTTTCTGCTTTCCGCACATTGCTAGCCAACTTTCCCAACACCATTTATTAAGCAGGCGATCCTTTCCCCATTGCTTGTTTTTGTCAGGTTTGTCAAAGATCAGATGGTTGTAGATGTGTGGTGTTGCTCCGGAGGCCTCTGTTCTATTCCATTGGTCTATGTCTCAGTTTTGATACTAGTACCATGTTGTTTTGACTACTGTTACCTTGTAGTATAGCTTGAAGTCAGGTAGCATGATGCCACCAGCTTTGTTCTTTTTGCTTAGGTTTGTCTTGTCTATGCGGGCTCTTTTTTGGTTCCATAGTTTAAAGTGTTTTTTTCCAGTTCTGTGAAGAAGGTCATTGGTAGTTTGATAGGGATAGCGTTAAATCTATAAATTACTTTGGGCAGTATGGCCATTTTCACAATATTGATTCTTCCTAACCATAAGCATGGAATGTTTTTCCATCTGTTTGTATCTTCTCTTATTTCCTTGACCCAGTGGTTTGTAGCTCTCCTTAAAGAGGTCCTTTACCTCCTTTGTTAGTTGTATTCTTAGGTATTTTATTCTTCTTGTAGCAATTGTGAATGGCAGTTCGTTCTTGATTTGGCTCTCTGTCTGTTACTGGTGTATAGGGATGCTTGTGATTTCTGCACATTGATTTTGTATTCTGAGACTCTGCTGAAGTTGCTTATCAGCTTAAGGAGATTTTGGGCTGAGACGATGGGGACTTCTAAATATATAATCAATTCATCTGCAAATAGAGACAATTTGACTTCCTCCTTTCCTAATTGAATACCCTTTATTTCTTTTTCTTGACTGACTGCTCTGGCTAAAACTTCTAATACTATATTGAATAAGAGTGGAGAGAGAGGGCATTCTTGTCTAGTTCCAGATTTCAATGGGAATGTTTCCAGTTTTTGCCCATTCAGTATGATATTGGCTGTGGGTCTGTCGTTAAATAGCTTTTATTATTTTATGATATGCTCCATCAATACCTAGTTTATTGACAGTTTTTAGCATAAAGGGCTGTTGAATTTTGTCAAAGTCCTTCTCTGCATCTATTGAGATAATCATGTAGTTTTTGTCTTTGGGTCTACTTCTGTGGCAGATTACGTTTATGGACTTGCGTATGCTGAACCAGACTTGCATCCCCAGGATGAAGCCTACTTGATCATGATGGATAAGCTTTTTGATGTGCTGTTGCAATCAGTTTGCCCATATTTTTTTGAAGATTTTTGCATCTATGTTCATCATGGATATTGGCCTGAAGTTTTCTTTTCTTGCTGAGTCTTTTCAGGGTTTTGGTATCAGGATGATGTTGGTCTCATAAAATGAGTTGGGGAGGATTCCCTCTTTTTGTATTGTTTGGAATAGTTTCAGAAGGATTGGTACCAGCTCCTCTTTGTATGGCTGGTAGAATTTGGCTGTGAACCTGTCTGGACTTGGACTTTTTTTTGGTTGGTAGGCTGTTAATTGCTGCCTCAGCTTCAGTCCTTATTATTTGGTCTATTCAGGGTTTCAACTTCTTCCTGGTTTAGTTTTGGGAGGATGAAAGTGTCCATGAATTTATCCATTTCTTCCAGGTTTACTGGTTTATATGCACAGAGTTGTTTGTAGTAGTCTCTGATGGTAGTTTGTATTTCTGTGGGATCAGTGGTGATATCCCCTTTATCGTTTTTTATTACATCTATTTGACTCTTTTCTTTTCCTTTTTATTAATCTGGCTAGCAGTCTGTCTATTTTGTTGATCTTTTCGAAAAACCAGCTCCTGGATTTGTTGATTTGAAGGGTTTTTTTGTGTCTCTGTCTCCTTCATTTCTGCTCTGATCTTAGTTATTTCTTGTCTTCTGTTAGCTTTTGAGTTTTTTTGATCTTGCTCCTCTAGCTCTTTTAATTTTGATGATAGGGTGTCGATTTTAGATCTTTTCTCATTTCTCGTGTGGGCATTTATTGCTAGAAATTTCCCTCTAGACACTGCTTAAATGTGTCCCAGAGACTCTGGTATGTTGTGTTCTTGTTCTCACTGATTTCGAAGAAACCTTCATTTCATTGTTTATCCAGTCAACATTCAGGAGCCAGTTGTTCAGTTTCCATGAAGTTGTGTGGTTTTGAGTTAGTTTCTTAATCCTGAGATCTAATTTGATTGCACTGTGATCTGAGAGACTGTTTGTTATGATTTCTGTTTTTCTGCCTTTGCTGAGGAGTGATTTACTTCCAATTATGCAGTCGATTTTAGAGTAAGTGCAATGTGGTGCTGAGAAGAATGTATATTCTGTGGCTGTGGGGTGGAAAGTTCTGTAGATG